ACCCTCCCTCTCCATTTTACTTATTATGCCTAGATAAATTTTGTTTATAGTACCTTTATGTATTTAAGTATTTAATCTGTTTCAGAAAGCGTCCTAGCTTCCAATCACTACATTTTCAATTATTTGAAAATTGGATTTCAAAACTTTCAATCCAGCACAGTAATCTCATCCCTCTTCTAATTTGCCTTGCATTTTCCTCAGAGTTGAATCAAATGGATAAACCACTAATCATGAAAGGACTAACTCTGCAATAAAGCACTAAAATACTTAAATTGAGATATACTGTGGAAAGCTGTCTGGACAGACCTCAACAATTTTATTATCATTGAAGCGATCTAATTCTTAAAAAGCTGAGGCTCATCAAAGCTGTGTGAAATTTAGTTATTATCAGTTGATTAATAGTTTTAAATTAATTCTTACCTATTCAGACATCCAGCCTTCCATGACAGGACCAAATAGACCACTTTACTATTTAGAACAAACAGAACTGCCTTATTGGGATTTTTAGCTTTTCCTAACTATCAGTGGGAAGCATGGGACTGTTCCTTGGGTTGCACCTGGTCTTTGTGAAGGTCTGGGTTGTCGTGCATGGTAAGAAGGGCATTTAAAATTTCTATCAGCTTTAATGGGGTAATCATCACTAACTCCAACAAGTGAATTTTAATTTCTAAAACAGGAAACTCTTCTAAAGGAGGGCAGCTAACATAACTACGACTGTGAGGCCAACAAAAGACCCCAGAATAATGTAAGTTTAAAATGATATGTCTGAAAAATGATGTATCAACTATTGCTATCGTTTCTGTTTAAGATTTCTGTATCCCAACAACATCTGATCTTGATACTCTTCCCTTCCCAGTTTACTTCCCATTTCGTTTTTCCTGTAGGTCTCTCAGAAGCATGGGAGACCCAAAAAATTGTTAGGTATTTTCTTTTTATTAGATAAGAGATCAAGTCCCCCCTTTGCTCACATACTAATGCTCTAAAGATAAAGTAAGATAAAAAAAGTAAGGGTGCAATAGTATGCTGCATTTGGGATTTTTCTGTTTTGTCGAGGGGAGGAATTATAATTTTCTCTCATTTAAAAGTTTGTGGGTTTTTTACACATATATATAAAATGATGGAATTATACAATAATACAATTACTGTCAACTGCATCTGTGTAAACTGGAAAATATTTTCAGGTATCTTAGCAGTTATTCTATAGCACTAATCATAATACAGAATTTTAGAGGTATATAATACAGTTTCAGAACAGTAAAAGCTCAGCCACTTTTCCATCAAACTGTAGACCTTCTCAGAGAAAAATATCCTACCCCCCTCCCACACTGATTTGTGCTATTATAAAATATTGTGCTATCGCAAACTAATACAAAGTACCAAGTACATGCAGGAGCAATACATGCATTTTACACTTCTTTGTATTGCTCAGAATGACATCGTGATGCTATCATTTAGCTCATCATGACATTCCATCAATCAAAACCCAGTTTTAATTATACACCATTCTGCTTTTCCTCTCAAAGCAAACACAGAAGACACGCAACGATCTATTTCAGTTAAAATACATACTTTATAGAATTAAAAATAGGTTGGGAATCAGTTTTAAATCAGCACTCAGCCTGTCAATTAATGTTCTGAACCCCTGCTATTGACCCAGTACCGTACAAGCTGTTATTATGCACTGTCCTACGTATCATCTGTTCCCGGTGCGGGTCTGTTCCAGAAAGACAGACAGCTGCAACAGTATATCCCTGTTCAACCTGAGGACCATCTGACTTTAATTGTAGCACACAGCTTGATGTGGGTCTGGTTATGAGAAGCCAAAGTATCACACTGTAATAATCTGGAAAAGCAGAAACCTGCCAACACAAGGCTGCAAACAGGGGCTCGGGCTGTCTGGCTGGCTGACGGGCTGCAGGAAATATGATTAATGAGCAAGGTATAATGATATCAGGAACCCGATTAGCACCACAAAAAGGTCACAGATCAAAGTAGTATGCATTTCATGAGCTCCAATCATTGTATAAGATCTGTGGACTTAAAGAGGTAAACTGAAATGCAAAGGGAAAAAATATCTACGTGTGATAGCTCACAGAACACGCACTTAAAATACTGCAATTACCATTTTGTCCGAACCAGGAAGCAGTAAGGAAATATTAACGGAATGAATCAGCCCATGCCACACTGCAGCAAGCTTTTTTTGCTAGTATTTGTGAGGAACTGAGCTTTACCCATTCTTCCTAAACACGCCTATTCTACTTAAAAATAAAACGATGGTGATTTGATGCTGATGGTATCCGATCCACTAAGTACTAACAAGAAAAAGCAATCTACTATTGGCATGTAATTTTCTCAGTTTTATTCCACTGCAAAACCAGCAGGTTACTGAGGGCACCCTCGGTAGCAGCACTAACAGGGCCACCACCACCACCACGGTAAGGTTAGCTGTGTCAGACAGAAGTAGTTAACAGAATTCACTGGCACTAAGGTTTAAATTTAATGATACCGGACTTACCAAAACTTGATATCTGAATTATAGCAACAGTATCAGGGACCTACAGTGTCATCAAAAGGGATGACGTCTGACACACCTTAATATACCGTCACTTTGTAAATCATTTCTTACTTCAGCCTGAAAAAAATTCCTGTTCTGTCCAATTATGCGACTCTTGAAAATTGCATGTTCCTGTAAAAGTTCTTTCTTTTGAAAAACTCTAATTTATGGCAACTTTTGCACGTTCTTTCAATACGCCATTTGACAAGTGGTACTGCACGGTCTGCTTTCACAGCAGAAGTTATGAAGCCAAGCAGATTACTAGCAAAGTCTTTCTGATTAAAATAGCTTCAAAAGTCACAATCACTAATGAATAATTACTTGTGGATAAAAGTATATAAGAAGGAAACATTAATTCTATTTAGATAATAACTATGATATTTCAGTTTTATAAGAAATGACCAGTGAAATTAAGGGAATGACAAAGTAATTTTAATCTTCATCATTCAAATATACAAAAGTTAACATACTGCTGTTTTCAGATTAATTCTTGAAATCAAAGTTTTGGATATGTAACAAGCACTTCCCTCATTCTAGAGTGTTCTGAACTGCCTTTTCTTCAGGATTTAACAAAATAAAGATGCACTTATTGTAGATTGTACATAAACAGAAAAAAATACATTTGGAATATGGAATGAGATCATTAATCTCCAAGAGAAGACTTTAAAGGGATTTTACATTTTGTGCCCAAGAGTTTAACAGCAATAATCAAAAAGCCCCTGCCGATGAAGCACTTCATCCTGAGAATACAGCACAAGTGAGAGACAGCAGAGAGAGCTGCAAGAAAGGCAGACACTGGTAGCAAAGGCTTTAGGAAGTGATGGAAGGATAAGGGAATGGTAGGTCAGAGCATACAGAGAGGTGAGGGTGAGAAAAACCTGGCACCAAGGCTAGAAATGAGGAAAAGAAAATTAAGAGCTAAAATCTTAGAAAAGGAGGAAGCAGGTGGAGAATAACTTCACAGTGGGGAAAGCCAGATCCGTAATTAATAGAATGAGAACTATATTTCACGCAAAAGCTAAAATACTACAGCCACGAGAGATCAAGGCTGCCTTTGACAAGCCTACTTAAGAAGAACACAGCTTTTAATTTCTCAGGTTATCCTGAATCACCAACGCGTGCCAAGCAAAAAAAGGTGTCAGGCTACCTCCCTAACCTATTACCTATCAGCACAACCATAAGATCAAAAGTTGGGTTTGGATATGGTTTGCCAAGTAGTCCTGCTAAATGTTAGTGTATTTCATACCTCGTTTAAATAAAATTTGCACATACTTCTATATGAAGCAAAACGCTAAATTCACCCTAACATAATTTGTGATTATTATGGTGCGCCCTACAAGTGCCTGCAGAAATCTAGGCCAAATAACATTTCTGAAGACCACGGTATCATGTCACCAGTGAAAAGTGCAGTGTAAAGCTTATAAATCTTAATTCTGGGAACTTATAAATCGCAGATTTCTTCTGATGTGACTGTTCTGCAATTTTATGAATATGAGGTCTGATGTTCTGCCAACAACAGAACTTTTTCAATTCCCATTTTCTAACTTAGGAATATCAGGATGTTATCAAGTCTAAGCCTAAGACTAAGAAAAGTTTTTGAGTTTCCATGCCTTAATTCAGTATTTCCCAGTTAGCTGACTATCACATGAAAACTGCAGCCTTGTTTTTCAAGATTCATTAAAAAAATTTTCTCTAATTTATTTATTTTAGAGTGCCACGGATGCAGAATCCTTTCATTTTGAGAAGAGCCTAATGTAATAGCTTTGAGAATGTGCTGAAACACCAGCAATGATACTGTAAGAGCTACTCTGCAATACATTACACTGCCCCAGGGGGTACGGTGAAGACAGGCAGTGCTAACAACAGGATTTTCCAAAACAGGGAAGAGAAGAGCAATACAGGTTTGGGAAATGAAGCAGGCAAAGGAAAACTCAGTTTTATTTTCTTGTAAAAACCGCTGTCGAAAATAATTAATTTAATGAAAGAAACAGAAAAGGTGGCAGAAGATTTCAGATGCAACCTTCTCTCCTGAGGTATTTGCTGCTCTTTGGAGTTATATGGATACCAAAATTAAAAAACCCTAAAATTACATTTAAGTAATCAGAGTGACAAACATTTCTACGATTAAACAAGCTTTTTCAAGTCTTCTGTAAAGAGATGATTTTATCAGCTGCTTAGAACCACAAGAGCTAGCATACGAATGGGATAAGATCTCCTGCGTATTTAGACCACACTTGAACTTTTTTGAGCAATTCTAAAGAATGAGCAATACTATATGCCTTTTTTCTTCCTAAACTTTTAAATCTAACATCTCTTCAGATTATTTCAGCCATAGTCTTACATAAATGATGAATAGCTATATCTCTCAAGCAAAGATCCAAACTATTTCAGGAGAGTCTTGCACGACAAGTGTTCCTTGACAGACAATAGAAGATAGCCATCTTACCAGCCTATTTATGCGAACAAATTCTTCTGGGGTTTTGGCCCATGGTGGAAGTTCAACATCAGACACAACCGTTCCATCATCCATCACTCCCAGATTGTAATTGTTGCTGTTGACAAATATCTCTGGGAGGTAATAGAATTCAGGAATCAATTCCTGTAGATAAATGAAAAACAATGCCATGTTATAAATTCTGTCAGAGGATGCACTTTGTCATGTTAAAAAAAATAATTATGAGAATGGCATTAGGCAAAGAGAATACACAAAATCTTCTCACAGACATCCCCCTCCCCCCCCAAGATGGAGGAAATCCCCTCTTTCATACTTTTTAAAATTTAAATCTTTGGATACGATAAATCCTTATCACGCTTTTAACACAACAAAGAACTAAGACACAACAGGCTATAAAACAAAAAGTCAGAACATGAGGTTTGCTAGCATAATATGCACAGAGGAACTTCTAAAACTAAAGTGATGAACATCACATGGTACGGATGATATTTAGTGGAAAGCAACAGACAACCAACGATGTTAAGAAGTCAGGGGAAACTGCTTCTTTCACATTTTAATACAATCCACGTTTTAAACTAACGCACAGATGGCAGTCTATAGTTTGGGTGAAAGTAGCATCATACAAAGGTGTAAAATCCAGTTATATTCTTATTCTCTCTAACATAAAGGGCCTAAGAACTTAATGTTTAGGCTATTATCTAAGGTCTTTCAATGCCCAGAAAGAATGTTTTTGTAAATTCTAAAATACTTGGACTTATACAACATGTTCAGAAAAAAGACACATGGTCAAAGCTGAATCAAGTCAATATTTTTCTTTTATGGAAAGGTCGTTAACTCAATTCTGTGTCCAGTCTATAATTACAGGGGAGAATCATGCATTATTTCACACATACACACACACACACACACACACACACACACGAGAAAAAAAGGAAGGAATTTCACATGGTTACAAGGTCTGGGTACGAGCTAAATTCCTTGTCAGGATCATCACCACTTTAAACAAGTCAGCTCTATAGGCCTGTGCTGAACAGGCCTGGAATGCAGCATTTAACACCTCCATGGCCGGCCAGCCCTGGCACTGCTGCAGGCAGAGCCTGCTACACTAAACACGGTTGAGGAAAAAATGCATGCACATACAGCAAAGGAATTGTAATTTCCAAGTCTATCAGAAAACTAAAACAATAATAACGGATAAACATTAAAAAAAAAAAAAATTAAGCAGAAAATGGTACATTCTAGTACAGAATTGAATACAACACCCTAGGAAGGAAAATTAAGCTCAAAACCATATGGATTTTCTCCTGGATAAGTGGAGGGTTTCCCTGTTCTGCAAGCAGACCTGCAACTTCATCAGTTGTCATCTATTTAGTAAAATATGCACTAGGATATACATAAACATATCTAAGTTAATTGTGATTAGGACCTTATTTACACACTTTTATAAATGTCTGCAAAGTCCTGGCATAACACTTAATAGAAAAAGCCTATTAAGACATAACTTACATATTTCTGCCCTTAATATATTTTGAAGGTGCTTTTTTTTTTTTCATGGGACTTGATGTTGAGACTTAAATACACCCAGTAAACCTGGCAATTTGATGGATTTAGAAAAATTGAGCCACTAAATTAGAGAATTTAATTCCTTTGTAAAGAAAGGATCAATACGTGTAATTGCTTCAGGAAGTGTATTTCATAGCGAATGCGTAGTGTAAAATTGGTCTTCCATACAGCAAGTGCAAACTGTGTGCCACTTAAGAAGTAGGAAAAAAAAAAAAAAATCAGACTGTCCCACTGGCTTTGTCTACAGTGGGTGTAGTATGCAGCTACGTCAGAAGCTACGACGGTAGATCAGATCTGAAACCCAGTCTTGACATGGGTCACTGGATCAGCGGTCTCCCAGATAGCCCCTCAGGGCCAGCTACGGCATGAGCAACTTTCCAAATGGCTGAGTGCAATAGGGAGGTCATCAGATTGCGGACAAGGTCAAGCCGAAGTGGCCAGGGCAAAGACAGGAAAGATCAAGCAGGAATTAAGCTATTATCACCTCCATCCTTGTGTGAAACACTGCTTGGCTTTGAATTGTACATCTTTTTGTTTACAGTCACCTTAATTAACTAGGCAGGGTAAAAACATGCTTCTGTACCAAATGCTTGACAAGTACTTGATAAAAAGAGATTTGAAACTGTTTAATTGGATAAGCAAAAGAACAAGAACGTAGCAAGGATAAGCATTTGTAAAAAAAGAAAGTACTCTAAAACTGAAGTTTCTGTAGTTTTTATCATCACAGACAGGAACTAACAAAGAAAAAGCAGGGACACCGGACCATTAATTCAATAGCAGCATGCACCGCAAATATGAAACCATACCGTGTTTCTGAATACTTAAAACATAAGCTCATTATATATGTTGCTGATGTTTGGGGTTTTATATGTATATATATATATATATATGTACAGCTATTCATTAGTTTCCTTCAAGATCAGAAAACACTTGGCTTTCTAGAACACACATTGCTTCCATTAGATTACACAGAAACAATATGCTACCTAGAAACCTAAAAACTATCAGTAACTTCTGTTAGTTTGACTATTACAAACTTTTCATAAAACATTACTTCATTACTCCAGAAATGAGTTTTCAGAAAGTTTTTAACCATGACCATAACAATACAATTTTACAAACGGAGCTTCTTTATTATCCAATTTTCTCATCTTGACCATGTGCTAGCATTTACACATGGGAAAAGGGAGTGCAAACAGGTACACTGGGCCATTCTAATTGAGCAGTATTTAGCACCACTTTTCTATGGCTTTATATGGGTGAAAATGACAACATCAGTTAAAGGCCGACAGTTTTCCCTAAAATCACCAAATAGACCTGATAATAAAATATTTAAATTGTATCAAGTTTACAAATATTCTTCATGTATTTGGTAACTGCAGTCCTTATCAGCCCTTCTCAACTGTATTTGCAGGGTCTTCTTTTTTCTTAAAATATTCACATCACATGCATAGATTGACACTAAGACAGCAGATGCTGACTCATGTGTGTAACCCCATTAATACTGGAACTTTCTGGACACCTGAGAACATGAAAAATACTAATTAATGCACTTTCTGCTTTTTTTTGAGGGGGAGAGGAAGAAGTTACTTGTGGTTTTGCACAAATACCACATAAAAAACACAGGGGCCACGAGGGGCCAGACTGAAGGACCATTTAGTATCTCGCCTGGAACAGTGACAAGGACTGGAAGACTAACACAGGGCAAATACAGTCTTTCCATGGATATTCTGTCAGCTTCTTACAGTTAAATGGTTTTGAACTAGCCTGTGCTTCTGATTTTTAAAATCATTAGTCACGGGTTCCACACTGTAGTTTCATCTACAAAGGTTTCACCTTTGGCTATTCTAAAACCGCCTCCTAAGAGTTCCAGTGGACAGTTCTAGTACCCATATTGTGAAAAACAGTGCACATTAATTCCTTATTCACCCTTCTATATGTCCTTCTGGATACTATAGACCTATATCATCACATTCTTCCTCAGTGGTCTCTTTTTTGCAAGCTAAAGGATTCTAGTCAATTTAGATTCGTCCCCTCTGGAGGTCTTCCCTTCTGACTAACCGTTTTGGTTGCCTTCATACTCTCCGTAATTCTACCGAACCCCTTCTGAAATTTTACGCACTCAGCACATGTACAGAAACGGTAAAATTGTCCCACATTTCTTTTGTTTATCTGATTTCACGGAAAAATGAAAACATCTGTATGATTTGTTGAAGCTCTTGCTTTAGCACAACTGTGTTGAAAATTAGTTTCAGAAATTCCTCTGTTGGAATTCACCAGTTCTACAGAGTAGAGACAGACATCCTTATGATAAGCCTTCACTCCTGCCATGTTTTTATTTCATTACGACTGATGAAGGAGCTCACAGTGAATATCAGCATGAATCTAACATACAGTATTTATAGAGTTATATACTTATTAAAAAAAATTAAAGATAAAATTTGACATATCAAGTTTCGTATTAAAATGCTTACAAAATCCTGCATGTAGTTAAAATATAATTTTTCTCTAACAAAAATTGCCTTCTACCACATGGAAACAATGACTCCTAAGGAAACTTCACTAAAAAGATTTTTTTATAAACAAGTAATATCAACAGAATGTCAGTTTAACACTGGTAATTTATTTTCATGTTTGCCACCATGCATAAAAAATCTATACAAGACACTTTGTTTCTTTAATGTAATGAAATGTTATTTTATTGTTTTCTTTTGTTTAGAAAATAATAGGCAGATGCGTTATGAGGCAGAGTTATATGAGCTGCAAAGGTGTCTAGAAACAGTGACACAGATTCCCTAACCATATTAAAACATTTATAAGATACCAGATTTTCAAACTAAATTATTTGACAATCACATTAAGCAATATTAAGCCCATATATAAACTGTCAAATAGAATAGTAAAAATGCATATTAGAAGACTAGTTTTTTTATTCATATTGCCACACTTTATTTCTTCTGTTAGGGGACCTAAATGGCATTCGAGAAATATATACTAACATATTAAATTAATTCAAATTTAATTTTTTCATCACACTTCAATGTAATCATTTTCAGGACTGTGGGAAAGTATAATTTGTAAGTACCCATGAGTTTCCCTCCATCTGCTATATGTGTGATATTTCTCACAGAACTAAGAAATTGCCTTAAGACATTGCCTGAAATTCTCCCAAGTTGTAAGAAAAATAATTCGGCAGGTTTCCATTAAAATGCTAATTTGAAATAGTGAAGAAATGAATTTTGTCAATGTCTAATCATCCTGTTAATGTTCAAAGAGATTATAATTCAAATATTTCCTAGTTTAAGAAAAATATTAAAATCTTCAGTAATTTATAATTAATCAAAGAAAATTATAAAAAATCCAGGTGCATATTTAGTAGATTAGTGAAACATATGATAATCATAATTAATAGTTGATTCATTATTAAGTCAATACTTCAGTGCATTAAAAAATGCATCTTTAAGGCACTTTAAATCCTTTTTGTCAATATACGCATTAGATATACACAAAATTATTTTGCTTTTTACTGAAGATATATGTAAAGGTATGCAACAGTATTTACTGACCATATTTATACACTA